AGTTGGGTTGGGTTGGGTCCCAAGACTTGTAACCTAACCAAATTTTACCTAAGCTTACCTAAAATCAACTAGTTATATGCTTTGAACAGAATATTACTAAAACACCTGGAGGGAGCATACCTGGAGGGTGTTCCAGGAGTCAAAGCCCCCAGTGGCCTGGTCCATGACTAGGCCTACAGTGCTTGTCACAGCATTATACCGCCCCTCCCCCACACATACCAAAACAAACACATACCATGAAGATTATAATAATATATTGTACACTTACTGAGGTTTTAATACTTGGTGCAGCGCCCTTTACAGTTAATCACGTCCCTTAGCCGTGTAGGAAGACTCGCACACAAATTCTTGAGGGTTTGGGGAGGTATATTCCATGCCTTATGTAGAGCAGCCTCCAGCCGCAGGATGGAACTAACATCCTTGCCCAGTAAACTTCGTTTCACTACTGACCAGAGGTTCTCAATAGGGTTTAGGTCTGGGGAATTGCCTGGCCAGTCATTAACCCGTAAACGGTCCAAACATATATATACGTTTTTCAACATTTGAAAGTATGTATAAAAAAGATCTTTTGGTTTTTCTACACTTGAAAATGTGTAAAAAAAACTTTGATCTACTTTTTTTTTTTTTGTTATATTTGAAAATGTGTAAAAAAACTTAGATCTACTTTTGTAGCACTAGACATGTGAACGTAGATCTGCTTGGACCGTTTACAGGTTAAAGAACCTCACGTCACAGTCCTTAAGCCAGTGAACTAAAGATCTGGCAGTATGACATGGTGCATCATCCTGCATAAAAACCGTAGCCCCATACTTGTCCAACGCCTCGGGTAAATTGTTACACAATAACTCCAGGTAATTATACCGATTCATATACTGGTTTTTGGGAAGCACAATGAGTTTACCAACACTGAGCACTGAAACACCCCCCATACCATGTGCAAGTCTGGGTGTTTGGTGGTCCCACAGGTGTAGCATGGGTCTAGCGGGTCACTATCTCTGGGCCGGTACACACGTTCACAATGGTTACAGGTGAGAGTGAGGGTTGCTTCATTACTCAAAGTACTTCAGACAACTGTTGAGGATTCCAGTGAAGATATTTCTTTGCATAATCAAGCCTACATTTCTTCTGTGGCTTGGAGAGGATCAGTTTCTTAACCTTCCGGTGACTACTGCTCTGACGCACGTCTGGTAACAGTTCTTACAGATACCTCTGAGAGAAGATGTGGGTTCTTTTCTTTCAATTCTCTAGCAGTTATCTTAGGTGTACTCTCTAACTGCTTCTGTAACACAGTAAAGGTACAAAAGATGTCTTCTTTGAGGGGCCAGGCCGAGGTTTGGCAGACGGTATTTCGACACCACCACCAGCCTTGAAATGCTGCACCCAGTTCCTCACTGAATGCTCACACACACCAACATTCTCCACTATTTCTTTAGTCTGGTGCCCAGCAATGTGAAGCCCTATGATTTGAGCTATAGTTTCAGGTGTTAAAGACTTCCTCTTACCCATAATCAAACATGTATAGCCTCAAAACCAAAGGGAACACCGGACAAAAGATGGGTTAGATGAGAGACAAAAGTGCAACATTTTCTCTCATCACGGCAGCCACGTGAGCACTGAGGAGTCACTGTGGTGTGTGGGGCCAGGCCGTGATGTCATGCTAATGGCTGCTACCCTACATGATGCACTGACAAAAAAAGACTACCCCCCCCCCCTGCATGGCAGGCCTTTGATTTTCATCACAGGATTATGCAGGGGCACTCACCTGGCATAATGCCATGATAAGCACTGTATATACTAATTGCTAACTGTACCACAAGAGGGGCTTGAACCTGCAGTTACAGTCTTAAAACTCCAGACTAACACATTAGCCACTGGGCCAGCTGGCTACAGTAGTCATCCATCGTACATTGTAAATTTTTAACTCTCTCTCGTTTTACACAGGGATACCAGCGATAGCATAATGAAATATGTAGAAAGACATAAAATGTGCAATGGGTCCAGTGAATGGTCTTAGGATAGAAATAAAACTAAAAATCCAGGCTGAGATGTATGCAAGGTTCTAAAGGAATGTAAAGGGACTTAGACCCTTTGTAATCTTCACATATATAAAGGATGTGCAGAAGTGAAAATGGCAATATACTATTCAAAGGTACGGTCCTTAGCTCGAACTAGACAAAGCCGACCCAGTGGGAAAATTTGGAATATAATTCGAGCAGTCGTAGCCACCTTGAAGCAAAATTAACAAGAATTCAGCTGGTTTACAAAGGGGCGTTCTGCCTACAATTTAATTTTTCTAGTATTTGAGGGTATCAGTAAGAATGTTTGGTTATGATCTAGGCTTTGACAGGGTCCCACAGTGTTGAGGAAAATTAAGCACGAATAGAGGAGAAATTTTTCTGTAGAGCATGTGACAATGCAGCAGAGGTTTCAATGGAGAACAGTGGAAGTGTCACGAGGGTGTCACAGGTCAGTGTTGGGCCCTGCGTTCACATCACATAACGCATAGTAGGGTAAGGCGACATCGGCAGTTCGTGACACCAAAAAGGCGTGAATTCATTCTGACGAGGACATTCGAGCACTCCAGGAAGATTTGAATAGACTGATGCAGTGGTCGGAGAAGTGGCAGATGCAGGTTTAATTAGACAAATGCAAAGTTCTAAATGTTGGACAGGACAATAACCATGCCACATATAAACTAAATAATGTAGATCTTAATATTACGGATTGCCGAAAAAGATTTAGGGTTTGGTGTACAGTTAATGGTCTGACCAAGTACACTCTAGGCCGTAAAGTGTTCCAATGTAAGGTAATAGTATCTTGGCTTCATATCAAAGATATTAGACAGGAGGTTCCTGAGTTTTCTTGCAAATCAGTACATCCTTGGTTGAGAGCTCAGTTTTAGATTCGCTGCACTGTTTGACGATTACGATGGTAAAGTTCTCTGGAAATGTACAAGGAGATGAGAAAGTTGGGTCCTGTTCAGAATTCCTAGAGTTACTAGGGCCCTGAAACTGCTCTCTAGAAAGAGGTAGAAATAGGGGATGTATTTGATGGGGCAGGGAGGTTATGGAGACGGATTTCAACAACCAGGCTTGGAATGCTGCAACATTCCTCTGAAATGCTCACCAACAACATCCCACTAATGTTTTAGTCTGTGCCAGCAATGAAGCCCTATGATTGAGTATAGTTTCAGGTTAAAGACTTCTCTTACCCGTAATCAACTTGTATGAGCTCAAACCAAAGGGACTACCGACAAAGATGGGTTATAGAGAGACAAAAGCAACTTGTGTGCTCTTAACGGCAAGGGGATAACTGACATGAGGAGTCACTGTGGGTGTGTGAGGCCTAGGACGTGATGTATGCTATGGCTGCTACCATCATTGCCTGCAAAAAGACTACCCTTAACCCCCCCTGTCATGTGAGGCCTTGATTTTCATGCACAGGATTGCGGGCACTCACTGGCATAATGCCATGATAAGCACTTATACTAATGCTACTGTACACCAAGAGGGCTTGAACTGCAGTACGTCTTAAACTTCGTATAACATTATGTCCTGGCATGGTCTACAGTAAGTCATCCATCTACATATGTATATTTATACACCATAGGAAGGTTACCATAGGCACCACTGTGACCACAAATGCAAGTTTTTACAGATGAATATCCTGCCAGTGTGGCTGTGACAAACTCTAGCTAAAGTCCCCTCCAAGCCATCATCGTGACTCACGTTTGCAGTTGTGTCATTACGATTTCATGTGTCATACTAGTTGATGACTGGATGTGACACATTGTACCATAACAATTTGCCAATAAATAACTCCCCCTCCCAGAGTTTGGATACTTTGCTTGTATAAAAAAATGCCAATGGCCAAGGTTGGCAAAGCAGGAAAACTCAATAATGTTATTGCTTGGGCAAATTGTTATGTTGGAAAAGATTAACAAAAATACATTTTTCTTGGCATAAGCCCACATCAAAAGCAATAAAAACTTAGTATTGCAACCTAGCCAACTGTAGCTGAAGTAAACAAAGGCCAATAGCAAAATATGAAAGGGGTGGATAGGGAAGGAGTTGTCTGCAACCTGATAACAGTGAATTTTTTTGGTTGAGCAACAGTTGGTTATAAGTGATTTGTGGTAACATAATATTTAGCAGAAAATGCTGAACTCGTAGGGATCACACAGCACCCAGGAAATGGGAGGCAATCAGGTTTGAGCTGAAGAAGGGAAGGGCAATTCTATTTCTTTGGGTCAAGAGTCCTTCAGCACCATCAGAAAACCTTCCTTGAGGGAATTTCTGTAACAGATCCTAGCATAAGGATCTGCAGATATATACCTCTATCTTGTGAATTTAATTAAGGCCTTAGATTAAATATTTGCTTATACTTTGAATCTTTAAATTTCAAAATGAAATAAAACCGACCTCACTGGTTTTAGCTACCCATTAAATACATTCATATTCAATACATCCACTAACATATCCCACGTTTCCTTGCAAGAAGATAATCCCCCCCCCCCTTCTCAACAAATGTTTCTACGCTAATTTCCCCTTTAAGTGGGAACTGAGAAGTTTATCTAGTGGGAAAATATAGTCTTTCCCTCCCTACCTGAGACAATGATCAACTAATATTTATACACTTTACCCCAGTGAGGGGTGGAGGGGGGAACTGAAAAGCTTTTCCAGTGGGGAAACTGGGTAATAGTAGTAGTTTCCCCTTCCTCCCTGGACTCCACCTTGGAGGACAAGCCACATGCAAGACCATCCCTACAATTAACATACCTTCACTATTTTCCCAGTGGAGGGAGAGAGACGCTTATCCAGTGGGGGGGGGGGCTGGTACTAGCTGGTCGTAGTAACAGTGGAAGTAGTAATAATAGCAGTAGTAGTAGTTTCCCCAACCACCACCTCCTCCCTCCCTCGGTCCCCACCACTCAGGTTGAGCCACATGGAACACCATCTCCACCTTCTCCCACCATTACCTTCCCTCCCTCCCCTGCTCACCTTATCAGCCTCTTTGGTCTTGGCATACTTTTCCAGTTTACGCTGGTACTGAGCAATCTGCTCAGCAACGTTGGACATCTTCACAGGAGCAGCAACAACAGCAGCAGCAGCAGCAGCACAACACAACAGCTGACGCTCAAGCGAGCTCCTCCTCCACACAACAATCAAATGAACATCTCCCATAAACACATCTTCCAGCTTTATCGAAAATGGTATAAAATACCCATGAGTTAAAGATTAAGAGACGTATGCAACAGATGGGAATCTTTATTGATGAAACTTTTCGCCTACACAGTAGGCGACGTCGGTCAAATATAGAGAGAGCAGTATTGATGAAATAAAGATGATATAATCAGTGTATCAACCTTGGAGAAAAAGTATTTGAGGTGGTCAGTCCCTCAGCCTGGAGAACATCATTCCAGACCATGGAGCTGAGCTCTTCTCCAGGCTGAGGGACTGACCACCTTAAAACTAAGTCTTCAAGGGTGACGGACCGATTACATGAAAATGAAAACGTTTATTTCCTTGCAAAGCTTACAATGTGTGGTTTACGTACTACAAAATATCAATTACAAAGAAAGCCACTAGCGTGCATATGTATTTAATCTGTACTGCCTCCTGTGCTCGACTGAAGATTGAGACACTTATGCAAAATATGGGAATCTTTATTCAGGAAACGTTTCGCCAGTGGCTTCATCAGTCCAATACAAAGTAGAAAGGTGTAAGGAGAGCAGTAGTTTGAGGTAATCAGTCCCTCAGCCTGGAGTCGATGTGTTCAGTCCAGATTGATGGGCTGAACACATCTCCAGGCTGAGGGACTGATTACATTCAATTATTATTATAATCAAAGGGGAAGCGCTAAACCCGGAGGATTATACAGCGCCTCTGGGGGGGAATGTGGAAGGCATTCAGGCTTAATTTGGGGAACTGGAGCACAGATCCAATTCCCTAAATCAAGAGCCCCTCACCAACATCAAGGACCCTTCCTTGAGGGGATTACATTCAAACTACTCATCTTCAACCAATTTTCTCTACTGGACTAAAGAAGACACCAGTTGGTGGAACGTTTCCACAATAAGATACCCAAGTGTTGCATCATTTATTACAAGCTCTACGACGTGTATAAATAGGAAACAGGAATAAAGGGAATGTAAATAACATGCTAAAAATATTTAACCAAGACAAGACTCGCAGCAATGGGTTTAAAGTTGGAAAAATTTAGATTTAGAAAGGATACAAGAAAGCAATGGTTTGGTATTATTATTATTATAATCAAGGGGGAAGCGCTAAACCCGGTGGATTATAAAGCGCCTGGGGGGGGATGTGGAAGGCATTCAGGCTTAATTTGGGGAACTGGAGCACAGATCCAATTCCCTAAATCAAGAGCCCCTCACCAACATCAAGGAACCTTCCTTGAGGGGAATGGTTTGGTAGAAGAGTTGTGGATGAGTGGAACAAATTCCCGCGTAGCGTTATTGAAGCTAAAACCTTGAGTAGCTTTCAAAATAAGTTAACGAAAGTACACGAGTGGGCAATAAGACGGCAGTGAAGTTCCCAATGCCGTCTTATTGTGACTGCTTCAAGGGCAAATTTCTTAGTACTCCAGCACACGAAGATTATAGTTGCCTTAAACCATTAGTGAGGCCTCCCTACATTATTTTGGCTTCGTAGACAAAAAAAATAATAAAATGCCCAACGTTTCACCGATACATCGCTATTTTTCGCGACTCTCCCACCCGGTGTCACGGTTCACTTTCCAATTCGTTTTTATTTTCAGGGTCACACCAACAATACATTTTAAACAATATGAAATTAAGACATGTGCAACATCTGGGTATCTTCATTGTAGACGTTTCGCCATCCAGTGGCTTTATCAATACAAATTCAAGGATATGACTTGAAGACAGAACTATGTACAGAAGATGAGGTAATCAGTCCCTCAACCTTGGAGCAGGTGCGAAGAGCACCGTATTATTATTATTATAATCAAAAAGAAGCGCTAAGCCACAAGGGCTATACAGGAGAGCATCGTAGTCGTGGAGATTCTGAAGCAGAAGCAAGGCGCCTGACGCTTATATACTAACGTCAAGTGGAAATGGGACGGGTAGCAGACGAGGGCTGTCACTGGTAGGCGGGATTCCCCAGTGGAAGTAGGTCCTACCCAATGAGATGGGCTAGTTGTAGTTGTCGTAGTCGTGAAGGTTATGTACATGTCCTTAGAATCAAGATTCCATGATGTTGCAGTGTCTGACAAGTTGTTTAAGAATGGTATACAATACCGACAAGATGAAATTAAGACACGTGTGCAACATCTGGGTATCTTTATTGTAGACGTTTCGCCATCCAGTGGCTTTATCAATACAAATTCCAGGACATAACTTGAAGACAGTAGAACTATGTACAGAAGATGAGGTAATCAGTCCCTCAACCTTGGAGTAGGTGCGAAGAGCACCTACATTAAATATAGGAAAATTATAAAAAAAAGCAACATTCATGGGGGAGCGCTAAACCTTTAGGGGTCATACAACGCCTGGGGAAATGGAAGGCATTCAGGCTCGATTCAAAGAATTGTAGCACATGACCAGTTCATCATATCAAAAGTCGCTCACCAGCATCAAGGAACCTCCTAACATCTCGCATTCTCACGATTCTTATTAAAATAGTAAAGAGTCAAGCATCCCTTCGTTTGGAATCATGATCATAACCTTTAAAATAATAATCATAACCATATATAAACATGAATAATTTGCTTATTAACTGTAGGCCTCACTACACCCACCCCTTCCCATGGATATATTATATATGGCCCATGAAACTACCAAAGGATCAGGTCTACTGTATAGGGTGGCTGGATATAGAAGTCTTTGACTTGGCGTCTGCCTGTTCATTTTCCTGGGTCCCGACCCGTTTTGGGCACCGAGAGAACACATCCTGAGGATGACCACATCCTGAGGATGACCACATCCTGAGGATGACATCCTGAGGATGACCACATCCTGAGGATGACCACATCCTGAACATGAGTATACTGCGCCACAGCCAACAAAGGAAACTGCCTTAGACAGTAACCCGGACTCACTGAAGCCAGCAATCAGGACGCAAAGACCGAGGATTGTCTGCAGCTCCACACACATTATAATCACCGGGGAGCGCTAAACCAGTAGGATCATACAGCGCATTTGCGGGGAGAGGGGATGGAAGGTATTCAGGCTCAATTCAGGGAAATGGAGCACAGATCCAATTCCCTAGATCAAGAGCCCCTCACCTTGACGGAACCTCCCTCGAGGGGTGCGCACACAACATCAGCTGGCCTGGTAACTTAACATTACCGGTTCTCATCCGTAATCACCGCACACAACCTTACACTCGAGCATCAACCCATCAGTAATAACCAATACTAAATCCAAACAGCGCTAAACCCACAAGAAGTATATAAAGAATGGTTTATAACTGGTGCAGAAAATGTGATATTAATGACGTACTGTACAGAAAGCCCCTGTTATGCAGAGCATTTTGGGTAGCAAAGACGATCCTGGAATTATAATTATTAGGTATCCCCACGAAGGGGATACCTATAATGGTTATCAGATTGTTTTATATTAATGGAGAAGAGTTCAACGTGTAAGGTTCCTGCACCGTCTGCTTCAACTCAGGAACGTAACTGTGCGCAAGGAACCAGAGGTCAGGGTAAGTCTTAGTTATCGTATTCGCTGGGAATTATGTTAGTAACAGTGATAAACCCGAAAGGGTAATACAGCAATTACTCATGAGGATTGTAATCAAAACTAAGCGCTAAACCCACAAGGATCAAACTCATAGGGAAGGGCCTAAACCTGTAAGAGGCATGATGATCAGAACAAATAGGGGAGGTAATTAGGTTTTATCCAAGGAAAGGGAGGCTAACTCCTACTCCTTGAATCAAGAACCTTTCACCAGCATTAAGGCAATCCCCTTTTAAAACCGTATTAGAAAACAAGCTCTAACCTGGTATGGGTCATACATTTTATTACATTCATGGAGGGAGAACTAAACCCATAGGTCAAATATCATTACTTTCACGCGGGTTATATTCACAAAATTGCCAAACCCCTTTCGGGCTAAAGTATAAGGTCACAGAGCTGGAAAAATAAGAGGCAGTCAGGCTCGATCCAAGACTGGCTTTATTCCTTGGGTCAAGAGTCCTTCATTATGTTACATTGACGAGTGCGCTGAGCGAGCAGAGGTCATGTAGCGAGTGCTTCAGGAGCATCAAATTATATATATACACACTTATTTTCTCCACCCCCCCCCCCTCGAAATTTCTCGAAGGGTCCAAACAGCATATTTTATATTTATTATTATAATCAAAAAGAAGCGCTAAGCCACAAGGGCTATACAGTATATTTATTTATATGTTCTACATTCAGGAAATTATATAGAAAAAAAAAATCCACGTCTGTGTGATATTGGTTTCCTTGTGAAAGCTCGAGAAAGCCTCTTCTGAGGCTTGTTGTGGAGAGGATAGTCCCCGTTAAATTTATGGAGAGGATAGTCCCCGTTAAATTTATGGAGAGGATAGTCCCCATTAAATTTATGGAGATTATTATAATCAAAAAGAAGCGCTAAGCCACAAGGACTATACAGCAAATTTATGGAGAGGATAGTCCATTAAATTTATGGAGAGGATAGTCCCCATTAAATTTATGGAGAGGATAGTCCCCTAAATTTATGGAGAGGATAGTCCCATTAAGTTTATGGAGAGGATAGTCCCCATTAAATTTATGGAGAGGATAGTCCCCATTAAATTTATGGAGAGGATAGTCCCATTAAGTTTATGGAGAGGATAGTCCCCATTAAATTTATGGAGAGGATAGTCCCATTAAGTTTATGGAGAGGATAGTCCATTAGGTTTAGGTTGTGTACTTTGAAACTTAACTTCCGAGCATAACATAGTCGGAGAAAAGCGCTAAACTCGTAGCGTTCAGCACTGTTAAAGTAAGGAGGCAATCCAGTTCATCCAAGGAAGGGGTAGTCAGGTCCAATTCCTTGGATCCAGAGCCCCTTACCAGTGCCACAGCATCTCCCAGGAGTGGCTCTGATGCAGTTTCAACTCCTGGATGTCTGTGCTCTGTGAATTATTAAATTCATGGAGAATTACTAAACCCTTAGGGAGGCGATTATAATGAAAACCAAGCGCTAA